AAGATTTATACAAATACTGGATACTTCTGAAGTGGGAAAATTAATTAAACAAAGCCCAGTTTCTCAAACAACTGTCTAAAATTTCTGAAATTCATTTCCTCTGTTATAGAGTACCTTATGGTGTTTCCGGAGCTGCGTTCTACGGAAAATTACGCCATGAAGAATCCAGCCATAACTTCAGATCTCAGCCAGTTGTCGCTGTGTTTCTTCGTCAAACTTGTTCAAGACCAAGGGGATCAGATAGTCGTCAGCTATGCCTGTGAACATGGCAATGACATGATTGTCGAAATTTATCCAACACGAACAGATTTTTTTGTTGGCAACAAGTTGTTCCGGTAATGCTGCATATATCTTTTAACATTCGGTTGGGAAATTTCTTATTCGAGCCACAATAAGTTTTTATACAGGAAATGCTAAGATCGGCTTAAGCTTTTTCCTAACGCTTGGAGGGAGGGAGAAAGATGAACATAAAAACAAACGAAAAGCCTTGGCTTCTTTCTCTTTTCTTATCACCATTTAAATACCAAATATGTTAATCTTTGACCAAAACAAATCTAGACGTATTTTTCTTGCACTTTGCAAATAACTATCCGGGTCCTTTTTTAGAAATGTGATTTAGATCACGATGCACAATCAGAATAAGAGATTGATTGAATGAATGACAACACTGAACGAATCGAAGCTTGAATGTATGAACGATTAAGTGATAAACGACTGATTGATTGATTGACAGTTTACTGACTGTTTTACTGATTGACTGGCTAACTGACAGACTGACTGACTGACTGGCAGGCCACTTACATATTACTATAAACTGACTGACTACTGACTGACTTAGCGGCAATGAAAAAAGAGGGTATTTAATGGTCAAATATATTTAATATTGTTTGCTTTTTGTTTTTTTTTGTTTTTGTTTTTTTCAGTTTTAATTCGACAAATCTCTATGATGATACCTGGCAACACGTGTGTCTCACCTGGGAAAATACTCAAGGAGCAACGAAACTCTATAAAGATGGTCAATTTACAGAACAGGTAACGAATCATGCCACTAAAAATTACGCACTTAAGGCTGGCGGCTTCCTGGTGCTTGGACAAGAGCAAGACTCTATTGGCGGAGGCTTTGATCGTGAGCAAACTTTTTATGGCCGATTGGCAAGTGTCAACATGTGGGATAAAGTTCTGTCCGAAAGCGACATTGCTGCTCAGTACACAAATTGCAGCGTGCCTCATGGCTCTGTTTTTAACTGGTCGGTATTCAAAAGTCTTACTCATGGCAATGTCACAGTTGAAGAGCCGTGAACTAAATTGTTTAGAGATCAAACACTCACGACTCATAACTCACGTCATGTAAAATTCCTTATATAAGCGTATTTACTATAGGCATTACTGAATCACGTGGTATAAGTACAAAATAGATAGCGAAAGCTAAACTGAGAGCACGATAAAATTGAGCAAAGAAAATTCAAGGAACAGAGATGTATGTTCCTGATCCCGGTCTAGATATAGAAAATGTGATCTCCACTAAAAGCATTTATAGATAGTCCCTCGCACGAACAGGTCGGTATGGGGGCTAATTGATCGTAAGCACAGATATAAGAAAGCAACTGGTATTTTACACGAAATACTATTTAATTGTGTGACTTTCCAGTTTTGAAGCCACTGCTGTTTCCGGGGGAAGTGGAACGTTCTGGGACAGTTTCAATTTAGACAGTTTGAAACATTGAAAACATGGAAAAGGATAAGCGGTGACAGCTTTCTCTTTCAAACAAGTCTTGCTGCACTGCTTGTACTATTTAAAGAATTAAAACATCTATAAACGTTTACGAATTTCTTTCCGCTTTTTCAATTTCGGGCATCTATTTCTTACATCGTATAATAATAATAATAATAATTATAATAATAATAACAATAATTATGATGATAATAATAATAATGTGTAATTTTGGCTTCTTGTGGAGGGAGAAAAGCCCTCGTAGCTGCAACGGAAGGAGGACAGTGAGGGCTCTCACTACTGCACCATCTCCGCTCTCCAATTTGACATTAAGATTGACAATAATCAAATTGATTAAGAGCCTCTTTGCTCCTCTCAAGTAAAAAGGAGAAAGCATGTGGCCTGATATCTTTAGGCCAAGCCAAACGCACGTGACGTTTTAAAGCAAGATCTTGCAAGCATCACGTAATTGTAGATGTTTATGTGCCCCAGGTTCCTGGTTCGCTCAGACGTGAACATCATTTTGAATATGACGGACTTGAGTGGCAATGTTAAAGATATATCGACGTCATCGTATATTTGTTCTTCACTGAATACACGGGCGCTACTTTTTGCAGATAATGAAAGAGAAGAGAAAAGAGTGTAAAGGGAAAAAACTCGACAATGAGCCAAGAGAAGAAAAGAGAGGGATCGCTATGCAGATTGCATTCAAACCTGTATTAAGCGGCTCCGCACGGGGAAAGGTGGGATGACCGCTTGATAAAAAAAGAAAGAAACTGGCACACAGTGCGCAGCTGAGTGTGTCGCTGATGTTCTTGCCAAATGTTGACGTGCTCTGTGATCAGTTACTAAATAGAGCCACGGTAACATAGAGTACGTTTGTTTTCTACCCTGAAGACGTAAAATAATTATCATTAACGGTGACGTCATCTATCCGTCTGTCTTCTAATAGACTATAACTAAAAAGTAATCAAAACTCGGGTATAATTCAGCTGATCTTATAAATCACTACGCTCGCGCAGTCGTGCTTTCATAATATGATATGTGCAATTGCATTTTGAGGCAAAGTCGCATTACTCTTCAGCCGCGCGTTCTGTCTTCGTTTTTGTAAACTAATTTAAAGCCCTTGTGTCTAGGAAACGCAATAATACTAAACTTAGGTTAAATCAAACTGCTCATTTATCCCGTTTGAAGATTTCTTCACAAATTCTAGAAACAATCCTTCAGACAGGTTGCCAGATTTCTGCGATATAAGTTCTACAATGTTCTTGTAACATTCCTCTTCGTAGTCCTTAAAGACCTGCTTCAAGTTGAGCTCATGGTATCATTTTTTCACCTTGGATGAATCTTTTTTACTTTTAACCTCCTGGAAAAAAAACAACCAAAATACAACAGAGTTATATTCTAGTTTCTCATTATGAGTGCTTGTCGTGTTCAATGAAAATCTCTGGGAGAGAGGGTGGATTTTTGTTCTAATTGTAATAATGTACACGAAAAATTCCCACTCTTATAACAAGCTGAAAACGAATGCATTTTTCATATAACACGAGTGCAAAGTTGAAACAGGAGTGCAAATTACAAATAGCACGCGCGAGCCGTCAAAATTTCGTCTGTTTTGACTTTCCGTGATGTTTTTTTTAAGTAATTTATTAATAAGAATGTAAACGAGCACAATTTTTTTTCCTTTGAAAAATGTAATAGTGCTTATCAACACCAAATTGTACTCAAAATCATGTTATTACCTATTTTAATAAATCTTAGCTTATTCTGCAAGTAATTACATGAGCTGAAAATTAATAAAGCTTCAACCTTCCGTAATTCTCCTAAAAAAGTGACCAAAATGAAACAGATTTACCGGTAAGTGTCTCTTTCTTATTTCGAGTGCCAAACGTTTGGAATAAAAATCTCTTAGAAGAAAGGCAGGGGATAGGGGTGGGTTTTTAATAAATTTAAGCTCATCCTACAAGTCATTACATAGTGCCTGCCGTGTATGATGGAAATCTCTAGTGGAGAAGGCAGCCATTAGGATTAGGCTTTTTGTTCTGGTTGTAATAAATCTTAGCTCATCCTACAAGTCATTACATAATCTGAAAATTAATAAAATTAGAATGCTAGCCGCCAGCAAAGTATCTGGTCGATATAAATATTTAAAAGCAGGGTATATCACAGGTCCAAAAACAAGGACTTCAAAATTATGAATAAATAATTTCCCTTGAGCTTGACTATCACGCAATCTTCAATGCAAGGCCTCGGACAACCTGTTAAAAACTGGTTCTTCTCGATAGTTTACAAACTAAAATAGTTCGGCAGGTAGAATTTAACACTTTTGCCTGAAGTCTCTAATGCAGAATCTTAAAGTGAAATGTTTGGTGAACTTCAGCCGAATTATGGTTCATAAAAACACGCGAGTTTTTTCATATGGCAAGATAGAAGACAGACTGTTCAAGGCGAGTGTTTTATGAATAAAGACAGCCAAATTCACCGAAACATGAGGATCGCTCGGGATGAGAGCGCCGCAAAACTAAGCTGCAGTGACTGATGTGGCTTTCCACTCAACGCATCGGAAATGATATCAGAACAAGCTATTATTTTTTCACTCGAAGGGCGGCCGATGTAGTTTCTGAAGCTTGCTTCACTGCGATGACCGGAGATCGCCATGATGAGCGAGCCGCGATGGACCTCAGCATGATCATATACGCTCTGCCTGAGGTTCAGGAAAAATCTATCGAAGATTCTACGAGATCAACCTAAAAACCTCTTTAAAAGTATTTCCCCATAATATACGCATGTCAATAGCGATTGTCATGACACCCGCTGCTTCAAACTTTAAATATTGGTGAACACGTGTGAAATTCGTTCGACTGCGAAAAGGGAAATTTTGTTTTGAGCGCTCTGAATGCAGTCGGTAGCTGTCTAGAAAAATTATACTCGGATGAGACCTACCACTCGGATGAAACTAAATTTACTTACGCTGACAGAGCCAGCACAACGGTCATAAGTCGTGCATGCGCAAAGGAATCAGTTTTTACCAGGTGCGTGCCAATTTCTCAGAGAGAACCCAGAAGGAATACATAACAAACAATCGCTAACACGCAAAATATGCGGAAAAGTTCAGTGAAACTGTTATAGAAATCTGTAAAAAGAAGCAAAAGGAGGAAAAAGGAAACCTCAAGACTTTTTCGAAACCAAAACTTATTTAACCATGAAAAAGGGTGTAAGTTTGAGAAGAGAATGTGGTGCTGTGTCGCTGGGAGAGTATAACAAGGTAATTTTGTATTATCAACTCAGTTGATAACGTAAACTGCCGACCAAAAAGGCTTTCAAAGCTGACGTTTGGAGCGTTGGCCCTTCGTCAGAGGGAAGGGCTAAACTCTTAACAATGGCCAGTTTACGTTATCAGCTCAGTTGGCGATAACAAGTTACCTTACTTTATCAATAAAGGGCAAAATTACTGAGCGCTGATTGGTTGAGAGAGAGGGCATTTTTTTTCTTAATCGAGGGCATTTTTAGTAATCAAGAGAGGGCATGATTACCTGTTAATGATTGGCTAATCCGTTGCATAGCAACCGTTCGTTATCTTGAAATTTGTTAAAAATAGACTGCGCGCGTGATTTTCCTTCGTATAAATTTTGCCCTTTATTGATAAACAAGTAATCCCATGAGACCTCGTACTATTAAGGATTAATTGCACTTGAGTTTTCAAAATTTTGGAAAATTTGAAAACTCTCGTGCAATTAATCCTTAATAGTACTTGGCCTCATGTGATTACATATACTAATCATGTGTCTCCTATTAATTTACAATTTTGATTTGAGCTTCATCAAAAACGATATACACCTAAACTTACAATTTGGTGTGGTGGTGCAAAGCTTCTGCCAGAGAAATTGGTTCTGACAATTTAAAAGCGCGCTGCCTAACCAATATAACAATCGCACTTGTGTAGAAGTTTTCGCGCTGTGTAAACCGTGTCACTCTCTGGTAAAATACAAGTAACAAAAGTCTGCTTTTATTTCTCTAAGCTACGTCTAAGAGGACGAAAACCACCAAAATCGGATTAGCTTGCCGTGTGAACGGTGCTTGGTTACAAATTTTCCGTAGTCCGACTTATTTTAGTTTACAAAGTCTGTTCAACCACGTTCTCGTCAATGAAGCTGGTGGACGGACACTCGAAAACATTTACGGCGGTGGTAGGTTGAAGGCAAAACTTAGAGAAAATAGCCAATCATGCAAACGCATCATCTTTTAGAAAAAAGTTCGGACATAACGCGCGCTGTCATTAGTAGAACGAGCGTGCTCTATCAGAGTACAAAACATGGAGCTGAGCTAAAGCTGTCACGCCAATTTTTTCTATGCCCGACCATTTTCCGATCTTCTCTCTGGCTTTTTTTCCCCGTTAATTAAAAGTAAAACTTCGGAACAAGTGAGCCGGTAAGTAGCAACAAAAGAGCCAAACAGAGGTTTACAAACATGCCAAGCGCCGTAATTGACGTGATTATAACGTGAAAATCCTCAAAGAGGAAACGAAATGAACTGTCCTAGTTTTGAAGTTTTTCACGTAAACTTGCTTACGGTGATAAATATCAAACACATCTAACACACGTATAGTATATATAGTTTCGTCTTCATAAAGTTTCTGCAGTGTCGTCTTTGAAGAAGTGGGGAGAAACACTCCTCTACGTCTCGTGTATCTCCCTACACTTCTTTCCAGCTCTAGCCACTTCCTCCGTGCTTGACAACAGAACAGAGCACGGCCAAGGCCTCTCTATTTGTTCATTAGTACAACTATCGGATAATTATAGAGATGTGTAACTTACTCACAAACACTCTTCATAGCGAAAGTGGTGGTGTAGTAACAAAGGCAAAAAGTAGACACAAACGCCCGCGCGCGTACACACTCACACACTTGGGTGCACACAGACGCAAACACGACAGAGGTAAATAGGCTACGAGACGCGTCCGACATTCTATTCACTATTGAGTGACAATTTTCTGTTATGCTTTCTTCACCCTGTGCAATAACCATGAAATCTATACAAAGATCTTCATATTCTACATTGTTAATAATTACATTATGGCCTTAGATAGTTGATGAGGACGCAACCCGAACCCGCTACCTCACAGAGAAAGTGAGGGCAAACTACCAGTTACCTAGGTAGAACTGCGGGTCGTTCAAAACTTGACAACAAGGCGGGATTGAGTCTTATTCTATGTCACAATTGAACACTGTTGGGTCATCGTCCCCGATAAGCGTGCGACATTTTTGAAGAACTCTAGAAGATATACACAAATACTAGATCCTTCTGAGGAAGGAAAATTAATTGAAGAAAGCGCAGTTGCTCAAACAACTGTCTAAATTTCTGCAATTTATTTCCTCTGTTATAGAGTACCTTATGGTGTTTCCGGAGGCGCGTTCTACCGAAAATTACGCCATGAAGAATTCAGCCATAGCTTCAGATCTCAGCCAGTGGTCGTTGTGTTTTTTCATCAAACTTGTTCAAGACCAAAGAGCTCAGACAGTCGTCAGCTATGCCAAGAAACGTAACAATGAAATGCTTGTCGAAATTTATCCAACTCGAACAGATGTTTATGTTAGCAACAAGTTGTTCCGGTAATGTTGTATATATTTTTTAAAGTCGGCTGGGGTATTTCTTAAGCGAGACACGATAAATCATAATACAGGAAATGCTCTCTCCTAGAGAGTTAATGTCTAACGCTTTGAGGAAAGGAAGAAAGTTAAATTTACAAACAAAAGGAGAGCGTTGAGCTTCTTTCTCTTTTCTTATCGTGATTTCAGTATTTTAACCTTCGACCAAAACAAATCCAGACTTATTTTCCTTTCGCTTTGCAAATAACTATTCGGGTCCTTGTTTAAAACGT